ACTGCCACTACCACTACTACCACCGCCGCGACCAGTACTACTGCTACTTACTTCCTTCCTTCCATTCGCGGCGAAACGTCCGGGGTCCGCCTGGCGAGTCGGCGCAAACTGCTACTTACTACTACTACTCCTACTGCTACCACCACTACCACTACTACCGCTACTACTACTGCTACGACGACGACTACGACTACGATCGACTACGACTGCTACTACGACTACTACGAGGACTACTGCGGAGGAGCAGGAGGCGCAGGAAGAGACAACTTCTGCTGGAGATGCCCGCATACCCCATACTTACGGCGTGGCCAACTAGCAGAGGCACCGCGCAGTGGTGCAGCAACTTCGATGACAGAAACTCCCGGACCGCAAGAATTACCATCATCACCTTTGTCACTTTAGTTTGCTTGATCATCCTGGTCCTCTCCCTCCCGCTTGAACGTCCACTTCATCTTCAGCAACCGCCAGCGGTAATTTTTACCTCGTCATCAGTGTCACCACCAACACCATTACCATAGTCATGCCATCGTCCCACCGCCTCGTCAGCGCCATGATTATTCAAAACCATCATCACCACCGCCACCATCCCGGAATCATCATCACCGTCATCAGTGTCATCATCACAACCATAGCCTTTATAACCACAGCGACCCGTGTGACCCGTGCCTGTCCAGTCCACCTGCTCTGGCTGCATCTGTAGCAAGGCCATGCTGAAGACTGGTAGTCGTGCTGCGGACCGCTGAGAACACAACAACGCGGTATGGTGCGCCAGAGGTCACCCACTTCTGCATTTGTGCAAGTTCCTGTGCCATGCTGTGCTGCAAAGCATGCTGCATAGCCGAAGCTTGCTGCACATCTAAAATGCATCATGTTTCAATATCAACATAAAAAAAATTAATAATTTCTCCATCCATCATACTTCTCTTTCCTTTAACTAGTAGGTTTTCCTAAAGAGGAGTCAGCTCCAAGGATGCTGCGGCAAAGGCCGGCGAGCACCAGTGAAGTTGCGGTCTCAAGCAGTTGGCTCTGCTGCAGCCGAATGACTGACTAGGGTTCAGGGTTCAGGGTTCAGGGTTCAGTGTTCAGGGTTCAGGGTTCAGGGTTTAGGGTTCAGGGTTCAGGGTTTAGGGTTCAGGGTTAGCCGTAACAACCTTGAACTGAAGCCATCGACAGCCGAAGGCCCGTGAATCCACCGGGGGCTCTGATGCTCCTGCAATACGCCTTAATTAAATATCACAATATAATATATTTATATAATAATGTAATAAACTATAATATAACAAAATATATTATAATATATGATAATATAATCGTCTTTTCCTCAGGGCGCTTCCCCTCCGAGCACATTGGCTCGACCTGCGGCATACTGTACGCAGCCGGATCTGCCAGACCGAACGGAATCCAGTCTCTTTGTCCTCGCGCCCTACCTAAACCCGACACCCTACACCCTAAACCCTAAACCCTAAACCCTAAACCCCTAAACCCCAATTCTTCATGTCCCTGTGGCCTGCCCTTCAGAGCTTTGTTCCACTTTCTCTACACAGGAACTGGACACTTTCCAGGGCAGGCCACCGCTTCTCGGGAAATGGGCTGCTGGTATCCTCGCACCGCCGCTTCCTGATAGGGAAGTCGCTGCGAGGTCCCTCACAAACCCACGCCGCAGGGGAATCTATAGAATCTAAGCGTTGCTGGCATGTTTGTGATTGTTGCTCATCGTCGTGGTGGTGCTGTTATGATGGGCTCTACAGCCTGACTAGTTAGCCTGGGGTTCCTTATCAGGGTACTAGAAGGGCTCCTGCAAGGAATCCAGAGGGGTATTACAGGGACCAGTATCGAGGCATCAATAATCCAAGGCAATAGAGCAGGCTATGGGGGCAGATCATGGAATAACTGCATTTTGAACCCTTACTTGTCCACCAATACCAAGTCAGTCAACTGCTACATACGTGGGCTTCCATGTCATAGGAGACCAATACTACGATCGTGTCTCTCCCAATCGTTTGCTTTATTTCTACAATGATTACCACGACGTCTCTTCTACAACCAATACTACAACTATCACCAGTATCATTACCATGGTGATTTACCGCCTGGGGCTGGAAACTCGCGCCCGTCACCAGGTCGGACAGTCATTCATGAAGGACGCCCGTGGGAAGTCGTTCTGCTCGCGGCCGCTCCCAAACCTTTGTCAATAGGCATAACTTTGGGCAGAGGCTGTGAGCATGGCGCCTAGATGGGCCTGAGTGCTGGATATGGTCAGAAACTCTGAGTTGCTTCGAGCTTGCTTCGGCGTGCTTCCAACGCCCAGGCTTGCTCTCAGCCCTCCGCCGATCACCACCAAAGTCAAAATCGTCGTCCATACCCAAGCCACCTGCACAAAGAATGCTGCAGCTCCATTATGAAACACCTCTTCGGACGAGCCCAGCAAAATAAAACGACGGCCATGGCTCACGACATGCACAGTACGGCAGTGCGGCTGCCATCTCGGCCAATGCCAGCCCGATAATCTCCAAAACCGGAAGCATAGACATGCAGCTAGCCATCACAAGTACGCCCTTACACGTCAGCGAAATAGAACGGTAGCATTAATAACAACTGTAGTCCTCTCGTGGGCATACTTCATCACAAGCAGACTCACACGAGCCTAGCCTCATGATGATGGAACCTCATCACAATAAGCATCTCCATCTTCATCTTCACTTCCATCATCATCTCCGCAATCGCCACAACCATCATGACCACAGTCTACAAATGTCAACAACACAACAAAAGACCAGGTCCACAACGCCCCTGCCCCCCCGCCCCCTTTTCGCAGGATCTCCCGGACCCAGGGCTTGGAGAGCCCAGCCTCGGAGCAAAGGCCGACCCACAGACCTCCAGGGGGCGAAAATGCCAAGGGCTCCTAGGGTTTAGGGTTTAGGGTTTCGGGTTTCGGGTTTCGGGTTTAGGGTTTAGGGTTTAGGGTTTAGGGTTTAGGGACTCTACCTACCGGGATCGTAGATATCATGGCTGCAAGGAGCTCCGTCTCTCTTCTTGCTGTCTGACGCTCTGAACCAGCAGCTGCCGCGTCGTGATGGATCCAAAGAATGGTCAGACTTTGAGAAGATCTGCGACAATGTGAAAGGAACTGGGGTAGATTGCAAAGGAGGGTCCAGGGTTGTGGAATTTCCAGGCCCTGCAGGATAATACCTCAATCCTGAAGCAGCGCGCCAGCCAGACTCAGAACCGGTCGACTCAGTCGAAGAGAGTGATTTGCCGTTGGGCTGACTCAGAACACTGACGTGACGACAGTCTGAGGGTTTCACAGGAAATTGTCTTCCGTCACCCCAGAGAAAGCAGGCTGGCTGTGTGACTGCAATGCATATATATATATATATACATACATACATACATACATACATACATACATACACACACACACATATATATATATATATATACATACATATATTTCTGTATGTCTGTCTGTCTGTCTGCCTGTCAGTCTGGTTGTCTGGTTGTCGGCCTGCTGCCTGTCTGTCTGCCTGTCTGTCGGTCCGTCTGTCTGTCTTTTCTTTCTTTCGCCAGGGCTGTGGTGTAGAGGGTTGCCCCCCTACAACGTGCGTCTGTCTGTCTCTCTCTCTCTCTTGTCTGCCTGTGCTGTCACTGTGTCTGTTTGTGTGGGTGCCTGTCTATCCGATCCAAGCTTGCCGGCACCTGTAATAGTAGAGTACTATATACTTCTATGTTGTAATATACTACAACATACTACAAGATACCCCAACATACTGTACTACACCAGACTATACGTTAATGTAGTAGGAAAGACTGGAACATACGCTCATAGCCTGGCAAGAAATACTATACTATACTCTAACATGTTGAATTGTTGACAAGTATACAAGAATAGTTCAAAAGTACTATAATACACACTCGAATTCATACTGCAATGCACACTCAAATGTGTAATACTATACTACACAATATACTGGAAAAGCATACTACAACATAAACTGATTTTATGTACTTTCAAATTTCAATTACGACAATGTACTAAAACATCTTACAATGTACTACAGATGCTAAAATGCTGCTAAAATAGAATGTACTTTGCAGAACTCTAAGGTATCATACGATACTATACGATACTATACGGTATACGGAGACCATAACTCAACGAGTAATTTCTGGGAGGCCAGAACTGGACTGCTCTGATTGAATCAAATTGGCTGCAAAAGCACTACAACAACCAATCGGAAATAAAACCACAAAACCCTAAACAAGCACACCCTAAATCCTACCTGCTGCGTGCCCTGCCGGAGCTTCGGAGTTCGCCGGAGGCCTTTGGATGGCCCACGATTTGGGGTTTTTGGGCTTCAAGGCGCTTTTGGTACTCACAGTTTGGGGTGTGGGGAGGTTGTGGGTTTGGGTTCAGGGCGTTTTACTTCCGACTTTCGAAGAGTAGTTACCTATCTGCGCGACTGCTAGGTTCTATCAGTCTACAGTACCACCACTGGTGTTCGTGACACCGGCAGCACATTTGCCGTCGCCATATTATCTACCCATCCGTGACGGATGCGGCAGCGCACCTGCAGTTCAGCAACAAAAAAATTAAACATCTCGCAACCCCGCCGACTGTGGCGTTTCGCCGCACGCTTGCCCCCTGAAGGACTTGGCTTCACATCTGCAAACTCCTCAACGACATCATCGCAATCGTCAGCATACTCACGTCTCAATCTCATCCTCATCCACATCACCATAAACTACAATATCATCTCCGTCGTAGCCAGACTATGGCGGCACTGATGGGTGCGCGGCGAGGCGGCGGGAGAGCTCTGCAGGCACCGGCAGCTCCATTCGCCTCACATGTTTGATCACGGGGTGTTGCGTCGCAGAGAGGTGTATAATAGCAATCTGAGGATTGGAAATGCACACGACGCAGTAGGTTTCCTTGACTCATTGACTGCAAATAGGAAAGCAGGTCATACGTACAAACGTATGTAAATACGTACATACGTACATACATACATCCATACACTCATACACCCATACGTCCATGCGTGCATGCGTGATGTAAAAAGGCTTTCCACGCGAATGCACTGAACTTTAGGAGGCATCGGATGCCGGTGAACACAGAAGAGCTTCGCAGGCAGCACGGGGCGCCGGCTTGAAGATGTCAGCCTGAGTTTACAATGGATGATTCTGATCCTGGGGAAGAGGCACCGGAGCTAAAACTTCCGACACCCGCCTCTCCTCCAGATCCGATCAGTGGAACCGAAGGTTGGCTGCAATTTACCAGCAACTTCCTCAATGCGTAAACAACTTAGGACGGAACCCAAAGCCGAAAACTTGCTAAAGGTCTCAACAACCCCAAAGCCATGAAGCCCTCGATTCGCGCAAACAGAGTGGAGAATCCATGGCCGTGAAGATCCCACAATATCCCGCATGTGCACGAAGGGCCAGGCTCTTTCGCAACAGCAATCCGAAGCCCTTGAATCCCTTGAACCTATGAAGGCCTCACATCGAAAAAGAACTGCGCCCCACTTGACGCAGCGAGGCTACAATGCTCCGCGCGGCCGCACCGTCCTCGTTGGTCAGGAGGGTCCAGGCCAAGCCTTCCAGCTTCGCAGGCTCGTTTGGACATAAAAACTCAGTACAACAAGGGCTCAAGACTATAAGAGTTACGTGCTCAGACCTTGGAATCTGAGAAGAGGAGATAAATTCTGTCTCACATGGTATGCAAGATCCTCTGTACTAGTACCTGCTTTGATAGCGACAGATATAAACACCCAAACTCTCAACTTACACAGCTGTCGGGGCAAAATCTGCCCACCTTTTTGCCCGGCCCGGCCCGTTCGGCCGACGCGGTGGACGTAGTCCTCGCATTCTCATGGGGCGGTCATCATTAAAGTGCTCGCCCCGACTTCCACTCGGGGTAGCAGGCCTGGGTTTGATTCTGGGGAGGAGTGGCAGATGTGACACGGAGATTGGGGCGTTCTACAGATGCTTCAAGCTAATTGAGCTTGTATCGAACAAGTTGGAATTGGAAGCTGATTGCGGCCTGCTTCGTCAGCATTACAGCATCTGCCTGATCTTCCCGGAAAATTAACAAAGATTCATGCACCCAAGGAGTGTCGAACGATGGGAGAGAGCATTATGGCTGGAAACCTCGTGGTCTGGCTACTCCTGTCTGGCACTCTCCCTAAAACCTAAACCCTAAACCCCTCTAAAGAGCTGCCGGTTCACGAAGACCCTTTTGGATTCATTTGGAACTATACAGCGCAGCGGTTGGCATGAAGGAACGCCTTTCAATTTATTGGGCAGGTTCGGAACATGTTGGGCCGCATTGCAAACCGCGTTTTCGAGTAGGAATCCCTACAGCCCTACAACTGTAACCTTAAACTCAAAATTTATACGACTTACACACTGGGAGAAACTCACACACACACACACACACGCAGAGGCACATATACCTTTGCTTCTCGCTCCTCCTCGCGATTCGGAGGATCGAAGTTCACCACCACCTTCACAGCCTGAGCCGGAGCGGGAGCCCGGGAGCTTCGGGGTAAGCAAGAACTTGGTTGGGGGCTTCGAGTTGGGGGTTTAGGGTTTCGGCTTGAGGGCTTGGGGTTTGGGTTTCTGCGGCTTTGGGTTTAGTTGGGGGCCTAGGGCCGAAAGCTTTGGGGGGCGTACAGGCTTCAAGCACAGATTCCACAATATTCAGCATGCAACAGGACTTCTGCTTGAGCTCCGCCCGAGAAGCCGAAGCTGTAGCGAGCATGCTCCAACCCTCCTAGCAGCCTAGCAAATGGCGCTCCTGCATCTGTTGCCACAAAAAACTATCCCCGGCCCAACTTTCTCCAGGCACACAGTGAATCAGCTCGGCAAGCTCCTGCTGTGTTGCCATCACTGAGGGAGGAGCACAGGTTGAAGACGATGAGGAAGTGTTCATTCCTGATCTCCTTTTACCTTTGCTCCTCCCTCAATGGTGGCCACGATGCTGCTACGACGACTACACTACACGTGAATTGATCTATGTGCGCCCTACACATACGTCCATGCATGCATAGACACATATATCCAAACGGACTGTCCCGAGACCTAACGTTACTGCCGCTTGACGAAAGTCTGTTGAATGAAAATTCCGATGCCCCTGACCCCTTCAGGGTTCGGGGGCCTCTAGTGGATAGAGACACATTCAGCTCTTTCACCACCCCCCCGCCCCCCGTATGAAACGGGAAAACGAGAGGCCTTGATGTCCAGTCCACGGGCCGCCACATCCGTGGCCACGAGGACCCGCACGGTGCCCGACTTGAAATGGCCCAAAGCCAGATCTCGCTCCCGCTGGTCCTCTGCCGGAGGGGTCTAGAAAGCTGCAGCCGGAAACTTCTGGAGGTTTTGGAAAGACTCTTGGTGTCTTGAAGTCCCCTTCTCAAGTATCCCAACCCGTAGAGGTTGCTCTTGAGCTCTAAACCTTTGTCAAGCTGGGTCTCGTCGCCCTGCGCTTCACTGCGAAACCACCTACCCCTTTGGATAAACGGCTACGCCCTCAACCATACATCCTCGACCCCAAACCTTCTCGTGCACTCCCTTGAAAAGGGACCTTGTCCCCATGGATGGCCATCGAATTCGGCGTGCGAGAGGAGACCACTTCGCCTCAGCAGAGATGTTTCGCGGATGGATACAGAGAGGTACACAAGTAGACAATAGAGAAAAACTGCGGGGGCCTGATTCGCAGAGATCAACATGAAACCGAGTAGGGATTCTGCAGAAATCATCCTACGAATGCATGAAGGAATCCTTTTCAGCAGTGGATCCAGAGACTCGATCTACCACAGGGTCCCACGAATCAAGACCTCCTACCAGCAAAAACAGTGAGTTACTTTCCTTAGATCACGCCGAAGGACACATCCTCTTGGTGTTCACGAAGACAATGGCCTGGTCACTACCGCTTTCCCGGAGGATCTTGTCCAGCCACTCCTCTTTCTCGCGCATGTCCTGAGATTCTGCTTTTGAGCATCAGGCTTCCGGTTAGCGCATGTGGTGATGGTTCTTTGTTTAGGGCTTCGAATCTAAACCCCAATCGCTCAAAGCTTCAATCCCCGAGCCTTGGATTGATGTTTCGGTTTGAGAAGTGGGAGCTGGCTTGCAGCAGAGAGTCCAGGCAGAACACCACCTGCTGTGTGATGTCCGGGTTCACCTGAAAGCAACCAGAGACTCGGAGATTCCTTGACCTGGCTACTTGGAGGATCATGGGACTTAGTAAGTAAGGTTATAAGTCCCCTAATTGGGGTTATAAGTATAGTTACCTTAGTTATAACCCTACTTACTAAGTCCCATGATCCTTTAAGTAGCGAAACCTGCAAGGATCGCATGTAAGGGATGCTGGAGTGCTTGAGGCGGAGAGGGCATGAAGACAAGGAGCTTGAGTTCTTGTACCCTGAGCCTGCTGTCCCACATTGGACATGCTTCCCACAGGGTGCGGCTTCACTATGCTGTGTTCTAATAATTTAGATTGTGTTATAATTAGTGTATTACATTATGTGATGTTATATTATGTTATAATATGTGTGTATATATATATATATAACGTCATGTAATGCAATGCAATGTAATGTAATGTAATGTGATGTATTGTAACATAGTGTAATGTAATGTAATGTGATATAACATAATATAATCTAACATGATATACTGTTATATTATAGCATAGTCTATACTCACTTGAGAAGAGAAACAGAGAAACAGAGAATCCCCCGCTGCCAAGGCGCTCTCAGCTCGTCCACCTCGCCGGCACGGACCTGCCAAAGCGGCACCCAAGAATCGATTGAATGATATTAATACTAATACTTCTATAAATACTAATACAAATACTAATACTACGTCATACTACTACTAATACTAATGGTAATATTAAAGGTAATACTAATACCAGTATGGGGCCTCCGCAGCATCTCGCAGGAAGTCCGCTGCAAGGCGGCGGATGGACAGCGGCCATGTGGCAGTGAACATCACCGTCTGCCGGTCCTGCACTCTTGGTGCTTGTAGCGCAGGCCGAATGGAAAGCTGCGGAGAAGAGGTCCTGTGGAAGTCCGCCGATAATCTTCCGGATCTGAGGCTCGAAGCCCATGTCCAGCATCCGGTCCTGAGCCGCGCGCTCGGATCTCAGTCTCTGGACCCTCCACACTCCGGCCCTCCCTGGCGCCAAGGCGCCGCTTCATCCAGGACCAGATACCGCACGGACTTGACGTCCACAGCCACGGACAACCCTGCACCGAATACAGTGAATCCACACTGCGTATCTTCCAGGGTACGAGGACATGCTTGAACGGCCTGGCGGTGGCTCGAGGAGGTCGTTCAGCCGCCCCGGCGTGGCCACTAAGAGCTGGGGCCTCCAGGAGTTGTTCATTTGGGTTTTCCCCCTGGCTTCCTGGCCGTGCGGGAGGCCACATCCGCCCCTCTGCTCCACTCAATGCATGTGTAGCCATGACTTTCCCTCTGGGACAACTTTGAACCCTTTTTCTGTGCATTCGCGGTCTCTTGCTCTCATTGGTGCAGTGGCCTCTGCCGCAGCTCTGCGAGCTGTGGGCCTTTGGGGGCACCGCCATAGAGGCATGCAGCGCGCATGCCGGCGGTGGCCCCGAACCGCTTGGCCTGCACCGGGCTGGGACACTCTTCGTGAATGCTAAGCGCGCATGCAATCAAAAAGAGGTCAGCGAGGGAGCCTGTAGCTGTCAGGACATGACTTGGACAGTCCGATGGGATTGGTCGGGGACAAAAGCACCTTGCCCACGCCGTAACCTTCTCCCTCGACATCTGTCTGTCTATAATGGAAGACGAAGATGGAGGGCGTGAACTGCTTAGCTTTCTTGCTAGTAGTGCAGCACCGTCACACACACACAGACACACACACACACATGCTCAATGCCAGCATGCATCGCGCGCGCATCTGTCCTCAAGAACCTTCAGTAGTGCATGGCGCGTCATTCTTCAAGAACCTGCAGGTATGCGTAGCAAACCTCTATACCCCCAACTCACGTAGCTCATTCGTGTCTTGTGGTGCTTGCATCCTTCCTGACAGCGCGCACATATGCATGTAGATTAGATTGGGGTGCATGGGCTTGCTTTTACATGCGCACAGAAGTATACACCATCTGGCCTATCTTTGTATAAACATGCATTTCGACAACAGCTGTCTTCAATACTCGGCGGCTCATGACAACTATTAACGACTATGAAACTATGTTCAACATTATTGTTATCATTATTTTAAGAAACATGTAATGAACATCATCACTACTACTATTTTCAATATTATTACGGGAATGCTGCGGTCCAGGGTTGGGCCACTCCGGGGCCAATACGCAGCTGCGTTGCAAAACGATCTCCTACCCATGAGGTTTCTCTGGAAGTGTTACGGCAGCCCCAAACCCTCCACCCGAAACCTTAAGATACCTTAGACCCTGAACTTTGATGGTACACTAAACCCTAAACCCCAAACCCTCGCCGGACCCTGAAGCCCAAGAGATGTTGGGACGCAGCCTCGGCTTCGATCTGGCAGGCAAGCTCTCCTGAGCGCAACCCCAAGCCATTTTGGGCATAAGGGCTCGTAGGGGTTTAGGGCTACACTATCTACAAAGGCAAAGGCTCTAGTAAGGATTGAAGGCATGGTCTGCAACCCCATAAAACATATCTTGCTGCACCGAAGACCCCGAATCGCAGCATCCGCCCTAAACCCTAAACCCTAAACACGAAACTTCCAGCTGAGTCTCGGGTGGGTGCCAAAACCAGCGCTGCTGGTGGACCTGGCCATGGCTCTCTCCCTGATTTCGTGAGAACGCCGTGGCTAGCAAAAGACAAACATGTGGCTTTATATAACAACAACATAATAAAATGGATGATAATAATAATGATAGTAATATTATGATTATTATTATTATTATCAAGTCTGGACCTCCCTCCAGAGAGAGCTCAGAAACGACGACCGCTTGCCTCGCAGGTCCACTTTGCTCTCAAGGAGCCGGGCGAAGATGGGGAGCAGGAAGGCCAGCGTCTTGCCCGAGCCTTGGGAGCTCAGGCAGGTCAGGGGGAGGTTCAGACGGACGAGTGCTCAGGCGAAGCATGCACATACATACATACATACGGGTGGTTGTCAAAAATATGGTCCCTTTTTGGGTCCTTATTATACTACGGCACCTATTATTTAGGGTACCCCCAAAGGGACCATAATTTTGACAACTACCCATACGGAGTCCATGACATACTCGCCTGTTTTCTGTGCGCCTCAGGGAGCTTGAGTTTGCATGTCGATGTATGCAGCCAAACTCTTCTGCGGATGAATCCATCCAGCTGCCGGACCGTCGGCTTGGACAGCGATCGGCTTCTTGGACAAAGCTCAGATACCCTCATTCGGAAAGCCCCCGTTCTCCGGAATTTGAGGCCGTGGATTGGGGACATGACCTTGGGCCTCAACTTGTGACTTCGACGAGGACAGAGCTTCAAGACTTGAAGGGGTCTCGAGTCCTAGAGGGCTGAGACATGTCTCCGTTCCACTGCAAGACAACCAAGTGCACGAATTGCTTGGGTCACGGCCCGTCTTCGCGACCCCTATCAGATCTCGGCCTGTCGCGAAAGACTTACATGGCTGAACTCCACCGAAGCTGTTGCAGGTAGTGTGTCACCAGCGGAAACATAATGCATGAGAAACCGATCCGACGACATGACGAAGCGAGCACCGAATCAAGTCGAGCATCAAGTCTACCTCAATCTACGCTACCCTGGCACGCTACTCTTCATCTCGCAGAGGAAGCTGCAAGAGTAGTAGTCCTGAGACTCGTGCCTGCTGTGAGAATTGGCCAAGAGTGCTGCTGGATCGCAGTCGGTGCCTGATGTGGACACCATGCAAAACAATCCTGCCACGATCCGCCTTGCATCCGTTTTTCAGGCAGACCAAGCCGTTGGCCGGGAAGCCCGCCGACACCAGCGGAGCCCGCACCCGAGGTGGGAATGTCACCTGCTCGAGTCGGCACTTCGGCTCGCACAGGACGATACAGTATCCTGAAACTCACAGCATACGCCCCGCATGCCCCGCCCAACTAGCCCTTCTGCCCAGGCCCCTGGACGCCTCCTCCCATGTGTGCCAGGCTGAAGGCAGGTGGCCGCTGCCCCGTACCTGTCTTCTGGTATAACTTGAGGAAACCAAGGTTCAGAGAGTTGATATTCTGGCTGGTTGGTCGTGTGCACTGGTGCCTGTGTATTCGGGTTCTTGGGCTCCTGAGGTTTTGAACTTTAGAAGGAAAGGAAAACGTTGGTAGCTCATGCCGATGAGATCTGGATGTCTTCGTCGGAGAGCTATGACAAGACATCAAATTCAGTACAGCTTAATTATGTCAGTCGGCAGTCAATGAAACGAAACAGCAAAACAACATTTATGTCATACTTAGTGGAATATTGTTATACATTATACTTGATCAAATCATGGTGAATCGGTGCTCAGAGAGCCCACCTCGACCTGGACATCCGCTGCTGCCTGAGACCCGGCACCTCCGCAAGCTAGCACAACATGCAGAATCTTAAGGGGGGGGGGGTGGGGGCGGTGGGGTGGCGGTGGCGGTGTCGTGCGCCTCGGGTCGTGGGTTGTTGGTTGTGGGGTTGTGGGGTTCTCAGCGTTCCGTGCAGCACTACCCTCGGGGCCTGCTGCAATCACAGAAACTTGCGGGCCACCTGTCTCGGACAGACCTGCTCCAAGGCTTCGAAATGTCAGGATATGTGTCTACTCTTGGGCTGCGCAGAACTATTCCCGTTCTGTAGGGAACGGGCTTGAACATGCTCATAACTTCTGCTGGGGAGCTACCTGCCAAAATAGCTTGCTGCCTCTCTGCAGAGTTTTGGACAACTCTGGTTCCCCCGCTTATTCTGTGAAAGACGTTGTGCTGCTGTGCGATTGTCACATATCGAGGCTCTTCCGGCATTCATGTGACTTCAGATCGTGCAACTTACTTGTTGTAGTGCTTCCTCTTCCTATCCGATACTCTTCTTTTTTCAGTCTTGACTAAGTCAGAATCGCGAAGGCCGGCAAGACCTCAAACCCTCTGAGGCCCGGTTCAAAAGCCTCAGCTTCGAGCACCCCTCCCTCAACCATAGATCGACCCTGAAGGCCCGCAGGCCGTAACTCACCGGGCGAGCCTGAGGGCACTTGTGCTCTTACTGCCGGGTCGCTCTGCCGCGATTCCTGCCAAAAGGCGGTTCGCCCCACCGGGCAGTACCACAAGCATGATGTCTCTCGCAGCTCAGTATTTCACATGCTGGCTTGCATGAAGCGGCCTTCCGCTCGAAACATCCCTTTTGCTAGCAAAGAGAGGCCGCGAAGGAGGTTGCTGCTGGCCGGCAACCACTTTGCTCTCTTGACGTGTGGATGTCGGCAATGCTTCGACGCTTTTTGTGAGGGGAGGCTTGGAGCCTCAGTCCTGTTTCGCTCGGAGCTCCAGGTCCGGTTGGGGTGGAAATCCCACAGAAATAGAGCCAGTCGTCTTTCTGCCTGATTGCCATAGGTACTTAGACTACAAGATACAGCGCGAGACCCGGCCGAACTACGGCAGATTGCAAGTATGACAGATGGAACGTTTTTATGTGCGCGGTGTATTGCTTGTGTAGTGTAGTGGCTCTTGCTGCCGAAACTCACGACACTTGCTCTGCAGAGACAGTCACTGCCATTGGAATAAGCAATCGTTGCCACAAACAGCATTTATTAATACGACTATCACGACTGGAACTGTGCCAGCAGACGTGACTGTTGGGTGACCCTGACTTTGAGCCTTGCTCCCGCTGCTGCTGCTGCTGCGGCGGCGGATGTGGCGGCGGTCGTCGTGGTCGTGGTGGCAGTCGTCGCAGTCGCCGTCGCCCTCGTCCTAGTCCTCGTCGTCCTCGTCCTAGCCTCGTCCTCCTCGCCCTCCTCGTCCTCTGCGTCCTGCACGCGTGCCCGTCGTGCTCGTCGCGCTTGTCGTCCTCGTCATCCTCGTTCTCCCGGTCCTCCCCGTCCTCCTCGTCTCCTCCCCCTCCTAGTCCTCCTTCTCGTCGTCCTCGTCCTCGTCCGGTGTAGTTGGCACTGTTAGTCTCGGTACAGCAGCGGTGGTGATCGGGCACCAGATTGTGTCTCTACGACCGAGTGGACTAACACGAGCTCTCGACAGAGCCTCACCTCCTAAAAAATATCGAAGACCTTGACAACCGTTCCCCTAAAGACCCTATGAAATCCGTTGAGAAAATCACACGGCGAGGTTTAAGCCCATTGAGAGCAATATGAAGGGCCCCCTTACGAACAGCAGATAGGTGTGCTGACATTTTGTTTGTTTTATAGCTGGTTTTGGCTCTCTTAGCTGTTGCTGGAGTTACCAATGCTGGCGGCCCTTGGCAGCCCTTGGCCTCCATCCGAAACACCGCGGCTCCGGCCGGCGCTGTGCTCGAGAATGCAGGCGTTGGCCGCGACCTGGCGCAGCTTTCCAGAGAACTTGGACTGGTCTTAGCAGCTGGTTACTCTAGGTTAACATTACTGTACTAGAAGGGTTACTTTGGGTTATTGTTAATGCAGGTTGTTAAAAGGTTGCACAAGGATTACGAAAGGGTTGCTATGGCCTTAGGCATGCTACTAGGCTTACTGTACTGTTGTGATCCTTTCTGCACTTGTCACGACTCTGATGGTGCATCCGGCTTAGCCAGCTGCATGACGTGTCCAACGACGCTGGAGGCATCCTCACTAGTGACCCATGCGGCGAATTCGGTGTAGTGTACCTCACCATCAGAGTTGGAATCTGCGGCTGCAAACATGGCCTTGACGTCATCATCCGTAAGGCTTGGCACCAGCTGTTTTAGCACGGCGCTCATGTCGCTTTCGAGGATGACTCCGTCGTTGTTCGTGTCCAGCTTGGCAAAGGCGCGCGAGATCGACACGGCCCCACTCTCCGTGCGCGTCAGGGCTGGTGGCCCGGGTGCCTCCGGCGATGCCTCTGCAGCGCCAGCAGGGCTTCCTGCGGCTTCCGGTGCAGCATCGATCTTCGATGCCGCCGGCTTGGGCGCTTTTGGCGTCTTGCGGCCCTTGGCTAGATCTGCATAGGCGCCCCGCGGCACAGTGCCGAAGTGTACCAGCATAACATCCAGGGGCGAGTCAGCATGGATCCTTAAGGCCCGGTCGATGGCTTCCACAATCCAAGCCGTTCGATTGCCAAAGGCTCCTCCACCTACGGCTGTAAGGTAGACTTTCATGCGCTGGCCACGCTCCAAGGCCAGCAGAGCGGCGGCTGACAAAGTCGCCTCGAAGGTCCCTTGCAGAACCAAGCGCCCGAAAGGTTCCCAGTCCTGGGATCGAGTGCTCTTTGCGTAGGCGACCGGCAGTGCGGAGCAGAAAACCTGGCAGACTCGGTGATCTTTGTTGGCCACCTCCGTCTCCCAGTGAACGCCAATGCGCAAGCGGCTGCGGAGCTCCTCCGAGAGCCCTTCGTCCTCCTTCAAACGACTGCTCAGTCGCCCAATGCTTTTTGCATCCACGGGCAGACAGTAACCGTTCACCATTCGCCAATACTTCTCCTTCGAGTTCCCTACAAGCTCCGCTATGTCAGCCAAGCCATCCAGTTGGTGGCCGCGACCCTGGCCTTTACCGTTCACGAAATAGTTGCGGAAGACAGTCCCTGCAGGACAGCTGATGGCACAAGCAGGCCCCTGCGTGGCATCGCTGTAGTACCGCGTCACACCGTCCTCGGGTCTTGCCCCGGGCTCGTTCATCTCGAGACAGTTGAACTGCGACGCGACTTGAAACACGGAGCCGGCATTCACAGGGTCGCGGTGCATCGTCTGCGCATTTCCGCAGACGTTGCTGAAGGTCAGCCCACCGAGGCCACCACGGCCAGCACTACCAGCGCTCGCAGCCAGAAGTTGGCTTCGGAGCTCTGCGACAGAGATCAAGGCCCAAGGCCCCACGTGGAAGCGTCGGCCGTTGGCTTTACTTTCCAGGACATCCTCCGTGAACGCAAACTTCTCTCGGGTCTTCTCATAGGCCTCCTCAGGGAAACCGAAAGTCTCGGAAAACCAGTAGGGCGAGGCCACGGTGGAAGGCATGGCGACGAGACCTTAAGCCGCTGCCTGCTTCAAGCACCGAGAAGCAGATGAAGCAGCATGCACCACGAAACGCAGGAATGTTTTTCGCAAGGTTGGGTGCCACGCTTGGGCCCGCACGGCATTGACTCCGTGTACCCAGCAGACCTTTGCTGCGAGTGGTTCAAATTCTGGGGCCGATCAAGCTCATCCTTTGACTGTCACATTCGCAACGATGCAACCTACAGCATAAGGCTCCGACCCTGCGAAAGTGTCGCGGGTCTGGCGCGGGGGAGAAAGCCTCGGCCACGCAGCACAGGATGGCGACCAATGGCGACAAGCGGCCGAATCTTTTGTCATTGGGTTGTATGCGAGGGCTGGCAAAACCAGCCCGCCTGTTGCAACCCACTCAACACTCGTCCCCATCCCTAAAGCATCGTGAAGCCTCGCAGCCCGCCCCACGGCAAACTGCAAACCGCCAGGCCCCGCACCCGCGGCCCAAGCCCCCCCGCGAGATGCTGGTCTCCGAATGCCTGAGCTGGGCTGGTTCATGCTGGTTCTATAGGGGGCGTGAGGCTGCAGGCATGACTGGTACCTGGAAGTCCTGAGGTTTCTGGCTATCAGAACCAACGTTCCACATCTTCGCACGATGTCAGGCTCAAGGTCCCAGCCCATGGTCGAAGCCATTGGTCAAGGTTGGTGCCGGCCTGAACACTGAGATGAGGATGAGGATGATGAGGGGGAGGCGGAGGAGGAGGATGAGGATGAGGAGGAGGATGATTGATGAGGAGGAGGAGGAGGAGGAGGGGGATGGGGATGAGGATGAGAATGGATGACGGATGATGGACGACGGACATCGGACGATGGACGATGATGGTGATGGCCACATGTGATGGTGCTGGCGATGGTGCCGCGATGATCACGATACTAACACTAATGATTAATGATAAGAATAGGAATGAGAATCAGAACAATCGCCGCACTCTGTAGCTCGACGCCAAAATGCACGACACTCTTTTT